GTTTGTCTGTCTAGCTGTCTGTCTGTCTCTCTCTCTCTCTCTCTCTCTCTCTCTCTCTCTCTCTCTCTCTCTCTCTCTCTCTTTCTTTTTTTTTACCAGAGACTGGACCTTGCTCTTGGTAGGCAGGAGCTTATGCTGCTGAATTATCTCCCCAGCTCCATTAGTTTTTCTTTTTATCTGCTCACTGTAGTTTCCAAACTTTTAACAATTTGCCAGGCATGGTGGCACATGCCTGTAATCCCAGCATTTGGGAGGCTGAAATAGGAGGATTGTTGTAAGTTTGAGACCAGCCTGGGCTACAAAGTGAGCTCAAGGCCAGCTTGAACTGCATAGTGAGACACTATCTCAAAAAGACACACACACACACACACACACACACACACACACACACACTCTCTCTCACACACACTAATAAAAATAAAATTTCAACAATGTGTCATGGAATCCTTTAATGGTTATGTAATTCCCAAACCTACCTTCTTTTCAACCATCTTGCCTTTACATCCAACTTCCCTGTTTTTGTCAGCACACTGCAATTCTATCTTGGTTCAGAGCCTGGTAATCATGTTTCATTCCTTTCTCCTTCTCACATTCTGTCAGCCACTGCTCTACCTCATGGTTATCTATTTCCATCTTCCCTGTTAGATTCCAATTGCTTAAGAGGCACAAACCTAGTCCTATTTCCTGGGGCTATCACATAGACAGATGATCAAAAAAATGGTTTTTGAACCTTCTACTTAATGCCCTAGCTTATCTACATCTTGCAACTGTCACCTGGTTGGGAACTTTCATCTATAAATAGGCTGTTTCTGTTTCAGGTATGCTTTGCTCTGATATTTACACCCCCTCTTACCCCACCCAGGCCTTAAACTGAGAAACATGAATTAGAGCTGGTATTCAAATCCTTAGCCACAGTGCGGACAGTGCCCATAACCAACAGTGATGTCAAACATTTTCTTCAAACATTCTAGCTGCTGTCACTACGTTTGTTGGAGAATTCTTGAGATTTCACTTTGTCCTTCCATGCTGTTTTCTCTGTCATTCTGATGTTTCTTTTTGTGATTGAATTCCAGATGGTTCAACAGTGCTTCCAAAATGAATATTTTGACAGTTTGCTGCATGCTTGCAAACCGTGTCACCTTCGGTGTTCCAACACCCCTCCTCTACCCTGTCAGCGTTACTGTAATGCAAGTAAGTAAGACCATGTCAACTGCTGTCCGTCATTGTGAAATATTTTATATTGACTATTTGTTCAACAAATAAGTATCATGGGAAAGACAATAAGCTCTTTCAGAATCAAAACGAGAACAGAAACAAAGCAATGATCTAAATGTGTTCACGAACAAAACAATTATGCAGAACTGAGCTCAAATTATTTAGCCCTGTGGGTGACATACTTTTATCAGCTCTTCTAATTAAGGGGTTATTTAGAATTTATACTGGAAAAAAATCAATACTGATGAATTAGGGGAAATGAATAGTAAGAAATTCATGTTTAATGTAAATATTATGCAATCAGCTCATTATCTCTCTGACATTTTTTCAATAAAGGTATGGCCACATCATTGAAAGGAACAAATGCCATTCTCTGGATCTGCTTGGGCCTGAGCTTAATAGTTTCTTTGGCACTTTTTGCGCTAATGTTCTTATTAAGGAAGATGAGCTCTGAACCCCTAAAGGATGGATTTAAAAACACAGGTTGGTTTGATGGTGACTTTTTGAAATGTTTCCAAAAGGAGGCTGTTCTGAGTTTTGTTTCCTTTTCTGACACTGACTATTCAGTCATATCCCTTTCAGGTGTGTTAGTGGCAGTTACATTAAACACAAGCTTTCTTCATTCTGCACTGACGCCTTCGCAGATGTCCTTGCAATGTCAGCCTTCCCCGCACTTCTTCCTCAGTAATTAGCTACTCTATTGAAAGTACTGAACCTTCCTTGGAAAACATCTGTGACTAAAGTTAGCACATTGATTAAATGTTCTTCTATCAGAAATTGTTCACTGGACCTGATACTATAAGAAAAAGCTTGCTTTCTTTCTTTCTTTCTTTCTTTCTTTTTTTTTTTGGTCTTTTTAGAAAAACCATATTTGGCAAGGTCTGTAATCATGTTAATATGTTAATATAAATATAAGTGTTATTTGCTTGGGTGAATATTTTACGACTAAAAATGCTAGGAATGAATAACTAGCTGCTCCTGGATTAGTTGAGGAACCATTTCGGAAGTAATTCTTTATTAAGCAGGAGAGAGCCAGTCTCAGAGAAATAAAGTTTCTGCCTGCGGACCCCTCACGATACAAGTATTTCTACAGCAGCTTTTCCTGTGATCTGCTTCTCAAATAGAAGCAAGCAGCCATTGTCTCATTTCTTTATGCATTTCTTTTCCATGCAAATCTGTAAAGCACCCACCTCATTTGCTTTCTAGTGCAGTAGGAGAGGTAGGTGCCTGTTCCACATAATTTATTCATTTTTCTTTTTCCCTTCTGGAATCTGGTAGATAAGTGGAAAATAAATTTTTTAGCACAAACTAAAAATTGCATATATTTAAGGTGCACAGCAGCATGTTTGATATACATACACACAGTGAAATGAATTACTACAGTCAAGCAAATTAACATCTCCATCTCCTCGTGTTGTTACTTTTTCTTTTTGCTTGTGAGAACTCTTGAAATCTTCATCATATCACATGTTAAGTCTCCAGACTTATTCATCCCACACATCTGTGATATATCCTTTGACTAATAGCTCCCCATTTCCCCCACTTACCTGCCCATGTGAACCACCATGCTCTCTGTTTCTATTTGTTTAACTTCTTTAGATCCCACATGTAAGTGAGGTAGATAGTATTTTTCTTCTTGTGTCTGGCTTATTTTTAGAGTGGGTCTAATTATGACAGTTCAGAAGATAAAATTACACTGGATTGTGGGGAAGTAGAAAACTTAGCCTTACAGGGGTATAAGTAACGCATTGTGGAGACTCCTTTCATTAGTGATTATGAGATCCATTTGAAATTTTTTTCATCTATTGCAAAATATTCCCTAGGAGAAGCACCTTTACTCTTGTATTCTCAAACATTACCCTGTGCTGATTTTAGTGCTGTGATATACAGTAATTTTGGTGATTTTTGTGTATGTGATAGGGTCAAAACCTTCACGCTTGCAAGGACCAAGCAGGTAACAAAGGCACGTACTGGGCCACATGGCGACTGCAACCCAAGAGCCCATGCCTGCCTCGTAGTCACCACGGCTACAGACTGCAGTTAATAGATTCCATATCAGTTCTTTTTTTGGGTAGAACTGGGGATTGAACTCAGGCCCTTGCGCTTGCCAGGGAAGCACTTTATTCCACTGAGCCATCTCCCCAGCCTCTTCCACATCAGTTCTTTTTCTCTTTTTTTCTTCCATAATTTTGTTGATAAACAAATAGCAATGAGACAGTTTCAAACCAAATTGGTAGGACAGTTTCAATAATTAACACATTGTATACATTCTTCCTAGTGGTTATTTGCTGTACAAGATGTGGACATGATATCCTATTTACAAACACTATTGGAACAAATCCCTCTTTTCATTAAGAGAATGTAACTATACATCTATCCTAACCATTTTGAATACACAGATACAAAATGGACATTCATCTGTATCCCCTTTTTTCACATCAGTTCTAAGTTATTGCATTTTGTTGTCTTTTTAAAGGTTCCACTTATCTAGATTTGTTTGTGGAGCCTCTTGATTTTTAAATCTAATCAAAATAAGCAAGCAAAAAACCAACCACTTAAAACAACTGTATCCCCAAACAACCAATGTTTCAGCCCTGGTGCAGATCACAGGCGTTCTGTGGCTCACACTGCTTTGAGTTCTGATACATCCTGCTAAGACTACAATCTCTCCAGGAAAGCTCAGGTCAATGTTTCTGTTTCTGCATCATCAGAATCTGTTCTTCTGGATGCAGCAGTTAATGGTGACCTGGACGATAACAGGACTGATGGTAAAATCATTCTTCCGAGAAGCCTGGAGTACACAGTTGAAGAATGTATCTGTGAAGACTGTGTCAGGAGCAGACTAAAGGTTGATTCTGACCATTTCTTCCCACTCCCAGCCATGGAGGAGGGTGCAACCATTCTTGTCACCACAAAGACAAATGACTACTGCAAGAGCTTGTCTGCTGCTTTGAGTGTCACAGGGATGGAAAAATCAATTTCTATTAAATAATTTATCTTTTTGGCTGCTGTAGAGCTACTTCGAGAATCTTTTTGTCAGAAAGAAAAGATGATGCATTGGATCTCTTTAGGATAATTGTATTTACCAGTTGCTAATATAACTTTTTTGTTCTGTGATTCTGGAAAGTCTTCACATTAGATGTATTCACCTATGTTGTTGTTGGGACCTTAACTGGCCAATTCTCTGGTGTCATGATTAAATTTTTGATTTTGAAAAGAAAAGATGTTATTGCAATCTATATACAGACTCCACAGTCTCATATTTTTCTCCTATACATGCACAAATGTATTTCAGGAAAGATTGGATTCTTCTTGATAAAGGAAAGCAAATGTTCTGGGTGCTTTGTTATGTAGAAGAAGCCTAGAGCCAGCCAGGCCAATTCAGTGTGAATTGCATAGATGGTTAGAGGAAGCGTCAGGCATGAGCATGACCATACAAACAAGTATAATTATAAACTGTGATAAAGGCATGGTAGATACTGCTTTTAGCTCAGATTGAGTGTATGTAATAATAACAGGCAACACTTATGTAAACTTACAAATGTGCTAGAAACTGTCCCAAGTGCTTTATCAGTACTAAACCATCTAATGTGCACATCATACTATAAGGCAGGTGAATCATCATTATCTCCATATTATAGACAATGACAGAAATGAAATCAGAAATAGAAAATAATGGTTGCCTTTGCTTGCGCTGGTATAACAGAATACCTGAGACTGGGTAATATATGAAGAGAAATTTATTCTCATTGCTTGAGAGACCGGGAAGTCCATGATTATGGTGTTGGCACTTGGTGAGGGGCTTCTTCCTGTGTGTCTTGTATGACAGAAGGTGGAAGAGCAAGAGAGCTGCAACTTTTGTGAAGTCTCGTTTATATGTGGTTTAATAGCACTCATGAGTGAGGGACCGTTATGGCCTAATTGCCTCTTATGGGCTCTGCTTCTCAATTTCACCACATTGGCATTATCTGATATTTTGAGGGTGTAAATTCAAGCTTTAGCCTGGCAGAGTCAGGATTTAAATCAGACAGCCTCCTCTATTTTTCTTTTTTCTTCTCTATATATCAATATGATTCTCTTCCTGAGCTCCCTGTTTCTTTGGTTTAACATCTTACTGGATACTGGGGCAAGGAGAACCTTTTTGTGGTTTATGCTAAGGATCTAGGCTCTATGAAAGATTAGTTCACCTATTGACTTTGGTCATTAGTATTTCTACTGGCACCACAGCAGAGACAATCAAGATTTTTTTTTTTTTTTTTTGAGACATGGTCTTGCTATGTAGTAGGCTGGCCTTGAGCTCACTTTGTAGCTTAGGCTGGTCTGAAATTTGCAAGGATCCTTCTGCCTCAGCCTCTTGAGTGCTGGGATTATAGATGTGTGCCTCTACCCCTGGCAACAATGATCAAGGTCTTTTGTGCACATTTGGGATATGCAGAACTTTGGGAAACCTGTCTAGTCTGCCTCTTACAACCACAGAAAGCAATACATTGGAACGGTTAAAGGATTAGCTCTTGGAGACTGCCTGGTGTGAATCCTGGCTCTATTCACTAGGAAATTACTGAGCTTGAGTAACTAGGAGAAAGTCATTTAACTACTCCAGGCCTCAGTTTCTTCATCTATAAAAGGAAAGTAATGATAGTCTTTACTTGTAACACTATTTTAAGGCTTTGCATAGTTTCTGAAAGTGTCTGCTTTGTTATATACTCATAACTACTATTACATTATGAGTATCATTTATTTCCCTTGAGTTTTGTCTCTGAGGGCAGACACTTCTCTCCTGTTATGTGGCCTCAAACCACAGGTCTCTCACTTCTTTCAGTCTTTTTGTCTCTTTTCCTGTGCCTGTCCAGATCAAGTATTTGTGAATTTATTCATTTTTTAGTTCTATACTTTTTAAAATTAATTTTATTGAGAAACAAATAGCAATGAGACAGTTTCAAAACTGATTAGTAGGAAGTATATGTAAATTTAGATTTTTTCAAAAGCATAAGAACTGTTGACTTTAAGCCTTGGATTCTTGCTACCCAGGCTAAACTCTCTAGAAGGAATACTTAAGAGGGTAGTTGGTAGAAAACATGAAGAGCAATAGAAATTTTTTTTCCTCTTTACTTACATTCACCCAGAACTTTTTTGGGACCAAATTTTTTTGGGGTGTGTGTGTGTCTGTGTCTGGGCCTGTGTGCAGCACACACCAACTGGGTGTTGTAGGACCAAGTGCTACTATAATTCAACTCAAGTTCTAACACTATCTACTTTGAAATAGTGTTAGATTTGACAGGTTAAGGGCTCAGTCCCACAAATACAAGTTGTGACTGTGCTTCAGACTTACTGGCTATAAGTTGAGGTTTTTACTCTCCTCCTTACTATGGCTTATACCTGGACATCTTTCCAAAGCCTCATGCACTCATAGATGCGGCTTTTCAGAGCTGGCTGATCCAGAGTATGTGATACTGGGATTAAGAGTGTGTGGTAGGGGCTGGTGAGATGGCTCAGTGGTCTAAAGCACCTACTTAGAACAAGCTAAGCCAAGCAAAGCACAGGGACCGCGGTTCAATCCCCCAGCACCACATGCCAGCCAGCCCCACCCTCTGGTGGGCTGAGCAGGCCACACACACACAAAATAAATAAATAAACAAATAAATAAAATTAAAAAAAAAAAGTTTCTGTTAAAAAAAAAAAAAAAAAGAGTGTGTGGTATTGTATCATCCCACTGGTTGGTTTAGCATAGTTTTGGGTGTGGATGGTGGGAATGCCCACCCTAGCTGTGGGTGGCTCCATCTAACTGGCCACCTGGATGTGAAAAAAGAGAAAGAAAGGGAGATTTACTTCACTGTGCTGCCTCCTGCCTGTTCTGACATGAATAGTTTATCCTCTGTGATGACCCCCTGCCATGCCACCCTGCCTTAGAGCCAGACCACTATGGACTGAACTAGGAATTGTGAGTTGAAACCTTTCTTCCTCCTAATCTGTGTCAGGTATTTCTTTCTTAGCAACAAGAGACCCTTCTTCAGGTTTAATCATTGGCTTGGATGGCTCACAGAACACAAGGAAACACTTTGCTTACACCCATTGGTGCATAACCAAGGATACGGATGAACTGCTAGATAAGGAGGGGAAGAACTTAGAGCTTCCATACTGTTTTGGGGTGCACAAATCTGCAAGCAGCAATTTTTACAGAGTTTAGTCTCCAGACCTTCTTTTTCTCTTCCCAGAGATTGGGAGGTGGGGCTGACAGTTCTGACCCTGCTGATCACTAGGTCCTTCTGGTGATCAACATGCCCCCATGCCATCTACAGACTCTACTCTGTCACCTCATTAGTATAAATTCAGGTGTGATCAAAAGGGCTTACTATGAATAACATAAGACATTCCTACCACTGAATAAACTCTGAGTTTTAGGAGCTCAGTGACTGGAATTGGGGGCAAAGACTAAACACATTTCTTGTTAAATTACATATAAATTAGGACTTCAGCAAATTATCCGGCCTCAGGTGCTATGGAGAAAGTTTCAGGAGCTAGGGGAAGGTACGATGCACAAGATGCTTTTGATGACTACACCAGTCAGGTCTGTGCTGTGGTGCCAAAGCCTAAAGAGGCAGGGCAACCTCAGCTGGGTGTTCTTCTAGTATTCAGACGTACCAACTTGCTAGTGTAAATAACAAATCAGTAACAATTCTAAAGCGTAACTTTGAAGTTAGGAAAAAAAAAAACAAATGCAAGTATTCCCATTTTTATTTTTTATTTTTTGTATTTTAGGGAAGGGTCTACAGGGTGTTCAGGGTCTCACTACTAGATCAGACTTGGTGTGATCTGCCTGTTTACAGCCTCCCAAGAGCTGGGATTACATGTGCGCGCCACCATGCCCCAGTCTCCCCATTTTTATGTTCTTTTGTGCTTATGCCTACGGGTGTTCTGAGACAATTATAATCATACTATACACAGTACTGTGCACACGTTTTTTTTCCTTTACGTATTATAATTTCTGCACCATTTTAGCTACTTTTTTACTGAGACAAAATATCTGCAACCTAAAGTTAAAGGAGGGAAGGCTTATTTAGCTGGCAGTTTGTAGAGGTTCAGTGCAGAATTAGCTGGCTTTGGCCAGCCAGATAGCTCCACGGATCAAAGCGCCTGCTTAGGCAGATGCAGGGACTGGATTCAGTCCCCAGCATGCCATGCTGGCCTCACCCCCGGGGCATGGTGAGACAGCACTGAGACTGGGTGTGGTGGTACACGCCTGTAATCACAGTGTTTAGGAGGCTGAAAAAAAGAGGACAAAAAAAAAAAAAAAAAAAACCAAACAAAACAAAAACCCAAAATAAGACAAACAAAAAAAGGGGGCTGTGGAGATGGCTCAGTAGAATAAGCACTTGCCTGGCAAGTGCAAGGGCCTGAGTTCAATCCCCAGTTCCACCAAAAAAAAAAAAAAAAAAAGGATCACTAGGAGTCTGATCTGTGTAGTGAGACACTGTACTAAATACATTTTTTTATAAAAGAATCACCAAACTGAACAGTTTATTTTGTCTTTTAAAAAAGTCATCTTTTTGTTCTGTAACTAAATACATTTTTTAAAAAATGGAGTTTCCCACAATTGGCTGGCTCTCAGAGAAGTTGGTAGGCAGCAGGCATAACAAATGAGAAATAATTTATGCTAGGCAGGAGGTGGCAAAGCAACAAGGGACAACGACATCTCTTTCTGTCCCTCATAGCCTATCCAGGCTACTTATAACAGGTAGCATTCACATCTGTAATCCTAGTACTATACCATGAATCTGTTCCAGTGTCACACATTCTAGACCTAGTCATCTTTGAGAGTCCATTTATGACTGTATAAGTCTTCAGGGATACATCTAAACACAAGCCACCAGAACACTCACCTTCCTATCTGCTGGCTTCCTGAAATCCAATAGTTGGGAGTCCAGAGTGGGTTGGAAACAAATCAGGTTTATTCAAGGGCCAGCAACCATGCTGAGTTGGTGAGTATGTGGGAAGCTATCATCCTCCAGAAATGCTCATCCAC